ATAATTTTAAATATTACGCACCTAATAACAGAGCTATTTAAACAGAAACATTTGATACAAAAACTGACAGAACTGAAAGGAGACAGGACAAATCTATAACTGTCTTCAGAGACTTCAGCATTTCTTTTTAGTTCATGCATAGAAAAAAACAGCACCGACCAACCAATCAGGAGCAACAGAGAAGAGGTATATCACCTTCAGCTAGAGCCGGCACAGAGTACTCCCCAGCAGTGGCGCACACATTCAGCTACGTACCGGGAAGCATTCACCACAGTGAGGGTCACAAAGAGGTCTCAATAAACTTTAAAAAGTAAAAAACTCATTGAGAGTATTCTATGACACAATGGAATAAAACTAGAATCAGTCACAGAAAAGATTCAGGATCATCTTCAAATTCTGGAAAATCAGTCTGCTTGTAAGGAACAACCCACAGCTTTAAGAAAAAAATCAGTAGGGCAATCAGAAAACATTCTTGAACTGAATAAAAACAGAAGCAAAAATAACACTTAAATTTTTGAGATACAGCTAGAGTAGTGCTCAGATTAAAGCATTAAAAGTGTACATTAAGGGGCTGGAGTTGTGGCTTAGCGGTAGAGCGCTCGCCTAGCACGTGCAAGGCCCTAGTTTGATCCTCAGCACCACATGAAAATAAATAAATAAAATAAAGGCACTGTGTCCAACTACAACTAAAAAATAAATATTAAAAAGTATATGTTAAAAAGGAAGAAAAGTCTAAAACCAACGATCTAAGCTTCTATGGGGAGGGGGAAGAAGGCAAAAATCAACTGAAGAAAAAAATGAAGGTCATATTTGAAATCAGTGAAATAGAAATAACAGAAAAAAAATCACTGGAAACTAAAAATAATGCTTTGCAATAAAACCGATAAACTATAGCTGGAATGATCAAGGAAGAAAAATAGGAAGAGGAGAGGAAGAAGAGGGAAGGAGAAGATGAGAGGAGGAAGAGGGGAAGAGACAAGAAAAGGGGGAGGAAAAGAAAAAAGATAATATGATACAAATTGCCAATATCAGGGATGAAAGAGGGAACATCATTATAGGTCCCACAGAAATAAAACCGGATATCAAGGGGACATTATTAATAACTTTATGTCAATAATGTTAGATGAAATTTAGATGAAATAAATTCTTTTAAAGACACAAACACTAAATATTCAAGATGTAATTAACAACTAAAATAGATACACATCTACTAAAGAAATTTAATGTGTAGTTAAAAATCTTCCAAAGAAAACTTTAAGTCTGATGGTTTCACTGGGAAATTCTATTGAATGTTTAAGGAAAAATAAACAAAAATTATATATAAACAGGAGAAAGCAGAGGAGAAAACATTTCTTAGCTCATCTCATGAAGGCACTAGACTGACTAAAACAAGGTGAGGATATGAGAACAGAAAAGCTCCATGAGAACTACAGAGGAACACATCCATATCAGTCATAGCCACATGTGGAACGCAAAGCTGACTTAATATTGTGATTTGGACTGAATATTGTTGATTTAAATATCATTCAATGTGATCGTTAACAAAAAAGAGAAAACTATATGATCATATCAGTAGATACAAAGAAAGCACCTGATAAAATTCAACACTCATTCATGATAATACACTCAGTAAACTATGAATGAAAGAATTTCTTCCAAAGGATAAAAGACACCTATGAGAAACCCAGCATTATATGGGATGGTTTGAAACTGAAAAACTGCCTTCAAAACTGAAGAGAAGAAAAAAAGATGCTTGCTCTACACTTCTATTTAATATTGTATTGCAGGTTCTAGCCAGTGTGATAAGGCAAGAAAAAAAAAAAAAGGCAGATGGATTAGAAAGAATGAGGTAAAACCTCTTTATTTGCCAAAACATCTATGTAAGAAATCTATAAAAAGCTGATAGAATAGGTGAGTTTAATAAGGTTATAGGATATAAAGTCAACAAAGAAACAAAAAACCCAATTTTGATTCTATACTATAGCAAAGAAAAACAGATACTTAAAATGCCACTGATAATAGCATAAAATCGTACAATATTTAGTTATATATTTTTTAGTTACAAATATTAAAAAATACAGATAAGACTCATAAATTCAAAGCTACAAAAATGTTTTTGAGAAAAGTTGAAGAAGACCTATGTGAATAGGGGACATATAGAATTTTCAGGGATTGAACACTGAATAATAGTTAATATGTCAATTATCTCCAAATTGATCTATAAATTCAATGCGACCTCAATCAAGATTTCCCTACTCTTTTTTTTCTTTAAAATAATTTTTTTGTTTTTATTATTGCATTATAGTTGTACATAATCATTGGGTTTGTTTTGACATAATCATACATGCATGGAATTTAATTTACTCCCTTTTAGTGCCCAGTTTCCTCCTTTCTCCTCCCTTCTCCCTCCTTCTATTCCCCTTCCTTTACTCTACTGGTGTACCTTCCATTTATTTATTTATTGTTAATTGGTGGCTTTATATGTATATATCTAGCTTCCACAAATGAGAAAAAAATTCAACCCTTGATTTTCTGGCCTGATGTTCTCCAGTTCCACCCATTTATATCAACATCAGTCAGGAACAAAAGGATGCCAAAATTTAATTCTTCTTTATGGATAAGTAAAACTCCACTGTCTACATATACCAGATTTTCTTTATTCATTAGTTTATTGATGGGCACCTGAGCTGCTTCCTTTGTCTTGGGTATTTTTGAGTTGTGCTGCTATAAATACTGATGTGGGCTGTATCACTAGAGTATGCTAATTTTAGTTATTTTGGATAAATACAGAGAATACATAAAAGACTCAAAAAGCTTAATACCAAAAACCCAAAAAACCTAATCAAGAAACGGGTTAAAAAAAAAAAAAACTAAACAGACATTTCTCAAAACAATAAATATACCAAGCAATTGGGGAAATGCAAATCATAATTATATTGATATTTCATCTGAATGGCAATTATCAAGAATAAAAAATGCTACTGAGGATGTAAGGTAAAAAGGTACAGTCATACATTGTTGGTGGGACTGCAAATTAACACAATCACTTTCCAGAGTGGGGGGATTCCTCAAAGAGCTAGGAACAGAGCCAACACATGAACCAGCTCTTCCACTCCTCAGAATTTATCCAAAAAGAACTAAAGTCAGCACACTCTTTTCGTTTCAACAAAAGAAACTGAGAAGTTGATTCTAAAATTTCTATAAAAAGGCAAAGGACTCAGAATAGCCAAAATAATTTTTAAAAGAGAAAACACTAAAGGGCTATGATACAGTTTTTAAGACCCCCTATAAAATCAACAACATACTATTGGCATAAGGTAACCAAATAGATAAGGATGTTTCATCAACAAAAGGTGCTAGAACTTTTGACTGTCCACGTGTTAAAAAGAGAATTTGAGCTTTTATTTCATATCATACATGAAAATTAAATTGAAATGCATCATAAACTTCAACATCAGAGGTAAACCCATCCAATTTCTAGAAGAAAACCCAGGAGAAATCTTTATGGCCTTGGCTAAACAAACATTTCTTAGAACTACCACCACCACAACAAAAGATAACTTGGACTTCTTCAAAACTAAAAATTTTCTTCTTCAGAAGATACTGTTAGGAAAACACAAAGACAGGTCATAGGCTGAAAAATATCTGCAGAACTTAATATCTGATGAAGATGTGTTTTCAGGATATACAAGTCTTATTACTCAGTAACAAAAACAAAGAACCCAGTTAAAAATATGAGTAAAAGATCTGAACAAACACCAAGAAGACATATGAAAGGCATTAATTAGCATGACAATATGCTTAAATCATTATTCATTAGTAGAATGCAGATTAAAACCACAGTGAGATCCCATTTCCCATATGTTACATGGTGAGATTAAAAATACCAGTGGTAAGTACTGGTGAGGATGAGGAGTGAATGGAACCCTCCTATACCACTGGAACCAAACATTACAGTCACCTTGGTTAATGGTTTCTTCAGATTTTAAAAATATACTTAGCATGAAACCCAGACATTCTACTCTAAGTACCTAGACAAGGGAAATATTATCTATGATCGACTGATCAATCTATCTGTCTGTCTGAGGTAGGTAGGTAGGCAGGCAGGCAATCACATGAGGACTAGTACATTAATTTTCACAGTGCCAATATTCAAAATTGTGAAATAACATAAACAACTCCAATATCTACCAGTGAATGGACAAACAAACTGAGGTAGTCCACATGACGGAATAATACTCAGCAACAGAAAGAAACTAACAATCTGAGCCAGGTGTGGTGGCACATGCTTGTAATCTCAAGTGACTCAGGATGCTGAGGTAGGAGGACAGTGAGTTTGAGGCCAGCTTCAGCCACTTGGTGAGAAGACATCGTCTCAAAATAAAATAAAAAGGGCTGGGGATGTAGTTCAGAGGTAGAGCCCTGGTACCCAAACCAAACAAACAAACAAAAAAACAAACACAACAAAACAAAAAAACCCAAAACAAACAATGACCAAAAACCCCAACTGATTTGCAAAATAATATGAATGACTCTTAAAGGCATCACATTAAATAAAAGAAGCCAGACACAAATAACTTCATATTATAGGAGTCCACTTACATGAAACTCTGGAAAAGGCAAAGACAATGCAGACAGTGGTCCTTTGAGAAGAGTAAGGAGAAGGAACTGATTTGAGGGGATGTAAAAGAGCTTTTGGTGGTGATGAAAACACACACAACATTATACACAATGGTTGTGGTGGTTCATTTGTCAGGACTGATCAAACTGTTCACTTAAATCAGCGATATAAATTATACATCAATAAAGCTAATTATAAAATAACATACTATATATCAAAATGTATTTTCCTATTTGCAAATAAGAGTTCTAAAATAATCTTTCAGTTTGAGCTTACAATACCTTTTTCTCCTTTGGAGGATGAGAGTCTCAATGAGCACATAGATTAAGAGACAATGAGCAAGCTTTCCTAGGGGAACAACGTTTTCCATTATCCTTACCAAGAGTAGTGAGTCCTTCTGAGATAGAAGTGAGGACATACAGGAGCACAGGAGGCTCTAAGTTGGTGATGAAGCTCATGTGGTCCTGGGTGAGACATTCCAGGAGTGGATAATACGACTGGCTCAGTTTCCGATATTGCTACAACACAGAGAGGGACTGCATGTCAAACCACAGGGAAGAAAAAATCATGTACAGTACAAGGGCAATTGCAACTTATAATATTGGAAACTGTCAACTCATTTTTAAATACAAGGTCAATAAATATATTAAAAAATGGCATAATGATTCCCAATTCAGCATTTAAAAGGGTTATAATAGGAATCCCTTGATCTCTAGAAATGTTAATTTGAAGCTGTAACAGAATGTTACTTCAGTTTTACTCTACATGGCTAATACCTAAAAGCAGGTAAATATGTAGAAGACTGAATCATTTTTCTGAACTGGAATAGTACAACAATGAATAGCACTTAATAGTGGTTAGACAACTTTGTTATTATCAGTTTTTGTTTTTTAAGCACAAAGAAATTTGCTGTTATAATAGGAATTGGCATTATAGTCTGTTATATTTAAACAATGCCAACCCATCTGACTAAATCATCCTTTGGTAAATGGCTTAGTATTTTCCATAACAGGCAAAGATAAAACATATAAGAAACATACCTGGAAAATCTCAAATGTAACCCAAATTCATGTCAAAGAAACATGCTGCTCATAAGAAAGGTAAAGCAGAACAGCATTTCCTAAAGTGAGACGAAGACTACCTCTGTAAGAATCACTCAGGGTGCTCGTTCTGATCCCGTTCTAGACTCACTAAGTGGAAGGCTCTGAGGTGGGGCCCGCAATGTGTGTTTTTAACATACATATGAGATAGAGTCTTACATACTCTCAAGTTTGAAAATTATTGAACTGGAGGTTTGCTTGACTGTTTAAAAAAAGGGGGGGGGCAAGAGAAAAATTTCTAGAGTGACACCATTTTTCTTGGGGGACCTCAGCTGTAGTGAAGAGTCCCCTCAAGGAAGTGAATGTAACATATGGCCGATTTGATCCAAGTGTCTCCTTTGTAACGTCTGTCCTCCGGGCACAACCTCAGTGAGCATTCCATGTCACTGGGAGGACGTCTGGTGACTTCAGCTTGAGACATAGCTCCGCAGAGGCCAGCCTAGGATGGTGGGAACGCCTTAAGTCCAGGAGCGTTTCTCATGAAGGCCGCCCCGCACAGGTCCTCAGATCATCCTTGTAACCCTGGGGCTGCGGTGTGTGTGACCAGCTGGGAAGGCCTGAACCATTCTAAGGATGAATTACTTGTCTGTGTTACCCAAGAAATCACTGCCACCACACCGGGCATTCAATGGTTTCTGGGTAATCTGACAGATGTTTAAAAAAAGCCTGATAATGAGAGCCCAGTGAAAGAAACAGGAAATTTGAATTACCAACAAGCACCCTGCAGGTGTTCTGATGGATTCAGAGTTTGGAGACCACTGACACACATTAGAGAAACTAGGTGGCCAAGCAGGGAAGGGCCCTGGAGCTCACCCAGTCAATCCACTCATTTTGGAGAAAAAGAGACGAGAGCCGTTCAAGGTAGGTAACTAGTGCATGCAGGTCTCCACATATGTAGGGCTGCTCCACCCGTGGTTCTGCACTCTGTCCAGTTCACCAGAATTTTAGTGGAAAAGAAAGCCAAACCACAGGGCAAGTCAGAGGAGCCGAACAGAAGGAATGGAAGACCTCGAGGCAACCCTGTTTCTGCTGCAGGAAACAGGTGTTTTGGAATTATGAATCTGGCCGTAAGCAATCAGCTGAAAGTGCTCATTACATTTTGCCACGGCACAATCTGAAGCACTCTGGACGACCCACCTGGAAGAGGGTGGCAGGTGCCCCTTTGAACCTGCAGTTGATTCTATAAGCACAGTCACTAGGGGTGTTACTAGATAGCGCATTTAGTGGTGAGTGAGACCAAGCACGCTGTCCCTGAGGGGAAACTGCTCTGGAGCTGCTCTCACTCCCCAGCCCTCATCCTACAGTTGGGGGCCTGTGGTTGCTGCTGCTCGCTTCACAAAGACGCCCACATTGCATGATTGCTTACTAGCAAGTCACTGTGGGACACCGACAGCAGCATTTTGACAAAGGCCTGGAGTACATTGTCAAAATGGTTGTCCCCATACAACTTGAAGACGCCAAAGCTGACATAATTTCCACATAAGGCAGATTTGAGAGCTGAATAGCAGATGGAGATGCCCTTGAGTTTCATTGGATAAATCTGATCTTTTGAGAGGCTCCCAAGAGACAGGATCTGATTACCTGTTTTAGGGTAAAAGCAGAAAGAGAAAGTGCCGTAAGTAAAGGTAATTCAAAGCAGCCACAGGGCACAATGCTTAACATTTCACCTCACTGTGAATGTTCCCTTCCCTCCAGCACTGCTCCAAAAATGGAGCCCTCCACAGAAGTCAAAACTACAAATGCTTAAGGCCATTTACCTGGGAAGGACAAAGGGCCCAGGGGTAATCCATCAGGGCATGGGAAAGTCTGGTGTTTGTATCTGGATGGTGATTACATTGAAATATACAGAGATACATAAAAGTTTATTGAGTTATACTCTTCAGATTAATTCACTTTTGTACTTTAATATAGATGTTATTTTTTCAATAAAAAGTTTTTAAAAAGTAGGATAAAATAATCCACTAAGAGAAAAAGATAATCTGATTAAGATGTAAATTACTCTAAATTCTGGGTAAACTTCCAACATTTTTATATGAACTAGATCTTGAATTGCTTCACTTTTAGGAGCCTCATAGGTTTGGTTTATGAATTAAATGAAATAGGACACACATTTTTGGCACAATGCCTAATAATCACTCTTTCCTTTTTCTCCTTAGTTGTTTTCTCAGAAGACCTCAAGAGATAATTGTTTTTTTTTTTTTTTTTTTTGAAGAGAGAGAGAGAATTTTTTTTTAATATTTATTTTTTAGTTATTGGCGGACATAACATCTTTGTATGTGGTGCTGAGGATCGAACCCAGGCCGCACGCATGGCAGGCCAGCGCGCTACCGCTTGAGCCACATCCCCAGCCCCGAGATAATTGTTTTTTAACATTTGTTTTTAGTTGTAGTGGACACAATACATTTATTTTATTTTTATGTGGTGCTGATGATTGACCAGTGCCTCTTGCATGCTAGGTGAGTGCTCTACCACTGAGCCCCATCCCCAGAAGACTGTTTTTAAAACTATCTCAATTCTATGCTGACTAAAGACAAAGAAATGTTTATATAATCACTTAAAAAATTTTCTATTGTAATCTTTAGCATTTACATCAACTTTTTTTTTTTTTTTGTATTAGGGACTGAACTCAAGGGTGTTTAACCACTAAGTCATATCCCCAGCCCTTTTTATATTTTATTTTGAGACACAGTTTCAGTAGGTTGTTTACTAAGTTGCTGAGGCTGTCCTTGAACTTGCCATTCTCCTGCCTTAGCCTCCTGAGCTGCTGGGATTAGAGGCGTGCGCCACTACGCCTGGCAACAGTTTGTTTTTGAAATGTGCACTATTAATGCACGTTACTAGGCAACATCTAAGAATGTTTTTTTAAAAAATATAGTCATACTGTTTCTTAGCTCTGCTTTCTCCTGTTCAAGTGAACACTGCTTCTAAAAGTGAACTACATTCAGTTCACAAAGTTTAGAGGCACTGTGGCTTATCCTATGTCAACCTGGCTAAACCAGGATGAAACTCATTTTCCTGTAAGACTGTGAGTGAAGGGGCCCAAAGAGAAGTTTGTGTGAGATCTAGAAGGTAGGTGCCCCAAATTTCTTCAAGCTGTGATTAGAATTGGTGACAATTAGAATGTGGAAACACTTCTAGGTCCCATTTGTTGGGTCTACCAGTCCTGCTGACCACTGACCCCATGCCCACCAGTCCACACACTGGGCAGCAAATTTACAGGAGCAGCTCTGCAGAGGAAATGGCCTTTCACTGACCTCATTAGTGCATTAGTGCAAAAGCTTATTCGTGCATTGTAGTTATACAGAATGGTGGGGTTCACTTTGACGTATTCATAATTGTACGTAACATTTCAATCCCAAGTACTCCTTCTTTCCTTCCTTCCTCTCTCTCTGATTCCCTTCCTCTACTCTGTGGGTCTTTTATTAATTTATTTTTTTTATCAGTGCACTGCAGTTATGGATGTAGTTGGAATGCACTGTGACATATTCATACATGCACACAGCATATTTTCTCAATTTCATTCTCTAGTTCTTTTTCCTCCCCTTCTCTCCACCCTCCAGCTTGGTCCTTCACTTCTACTCTAAGCTCTCCCTTCTATTTTTGTGAGATCCCCTTGTTTATTCCTTTCTTCTCTTTAGCTTCTGCACATGAGACAAAACATTTGACTCTTGATTTTCTGAGTCTGGCTTATTTCACTTAGGACGATATTCTCTAGTTCCATCTATTTACCAGAAAATGACATAATTTCAGTCTTCTTAGTGGCTGAGTAGAACTTCATCCTATTTACACACACACACACACACACACACACACATTTTCTTTATCCATTAGTCTATTGATGGGCACCTAGGCCGGTTCTATAACTTGGCAATTGTGGATTTTGCTGCTATAAACATTATTTGTATTCTTGAGGATTGTCATTCTAAGTGGGGTGAAATGAAATCTCAGTGTATTTTTAATTTCTATTTTTGACTGCTAAGAATGTTGAACATTTATTTTTTTCATATATTTGCTGGTTATTTGTATTTTTTCTTTTGAGAAATGGCTCTTTAGATCTTTTGCCCATTTACTAAGTGGACTGTTAACTTTTTTTGTGTTCTTTATGTATTCTGGTTATTAATCCCCTGTTGGAAAAGAAGCAGGTAAAGATTTTTCTTTCATTCTTTAGGCTCTCTCTTCATGCTCTTAATTGTTTTCTTTTCTCTGCAGAAGCTTTTTAATTTGATGCCATCCCACTTGGTTTTATACTATGATACCTGTCCCTCCTCACTCCAATACTTTCATGATCCTAATCCAGCATCCGGATGTTCCTACCCTCTGGACCTCCCTGTAAGCTCAGACATCTCTATTCATGTCATTATTTCAGAAGAGCTGATCAGTGAAGTTTTTCCCTAAACCTTCAACTCTCCCCTTTGGACTCATTTCCTCATCTTTACCCAAGACTGTAAAAAAGGTATAATTCCTAAAATACATTTTCTACTCCATACAGTTCTTGTTCCCTGCCTGATGTGTGTATCAGTCACGTTACTGTGAAGAGAACTAACTGGGTATCCATGTGCCTCTCTGGTAGGGAACACCATCTTCCCTGCTGCACTCCACGCCTGAGAAGTCCCACCCTTCCTTCAGGCATTCCTGAGATCTGCACTACACTGTGGACTACTGGGAGATGGGGGCATTGCCAGGTGGGCAGCCATGGAAGCTGGTGACAGTTGCTTCTTTGGCATTACTGTCAAAGCACCAAAAGAAACAATGTTTTCCTGAATGAAATAAACCCTTTTGAAGGCTAGAATCAAAAGGAAAATCCCTGTTTCCTAGCGACTATGTTGGCTATACTGGGGGTCAGGAGAAAGGCCCATCCTTAGTTTTGCATCCTTAACACGGGTCATGGGTAAGATGGATGCTGAGGCTATGCTGAAGCTTAGGAGAGGAAAGGTGTGAACTGGACGGCTAAGACCACCAAAGGCAACAACGGAGGACAGTCACAAGCAGTACAAAACTGCCACTGTCACTGTACATGCTAAGGCAGTCTAAGAGATCTCATTAAACAGAAAGGAAAACAACTAAGAAGTAAGAAGAGGACTCCTGATCTATATCATCTGGCTTACTAGAAATATCTTCCTCATTATTAGCTTCTATTTACTGCTATTTTCTCCTTCTTAACCTCCACTCTGCCCTTCATGGAGAGGCCATTCGTTGTTATTAGCTTCTAGCACTCAAGAGTACCCCTTTTCTAGACAAGTCTCAAGACGTGCATTCAGAAAGGGATATAGACCAAAAGATGCAAAGTCTCTTCTGCTCACTTGAATCAACTTCCAAGTCTGTTTCTATAAGCCCCCTTCCCCCAACTCCCTACCTCTTCAGTGGGTGACTGACTGCAGGATGTCCTTTTTTTTTTTTTAAAGAGAGAGGAGAGGGAGGGAGAGAGAGAGAGAGAGAGAGAGAGAGAGAGAGAGAGAGAGAGAGAGAGAGAGAGAATTTATTTATATATTTATTTAGTTTTTCAGCGGACACAACATCTTTGTTTGTACGTGGTGCTGAGGATCGAACCCGGGCCGCACGCATGCCAGGCGAGCGAGCTACCGCTTGAGCCACATCCCCAGCCCCAGGATGTCCTCTTTAGGTGAAAAACTGTGTAAAAAGATAATGCTCTAATAGAAGATAAATGGACAGTATCCAAGGCCGGGATGAACTATGTGGGCTTCTAAGTTGCACTGCCCCAGTGTGAATCCTCACTCTTTCCTGCTACTTGGGTATCTGAGCAGATCATCAGCCTCTGTAAGTCACTGTTTCCTTATGTATAAAACAAGGATAATAACTCCTTTAACTCCCAGGCTCTCTTGTAGAGCAAGGGAGGTGACATATGTGAAGTGCTTACCCACAGGAGCTGGCACAGTGCTCAATAAATGTCAGCCATGACAATGTGCAATACTGGGCTCATGTTTCCCCCAGTCTAGTCTCCTGTGTTTACACTTGTAGGAGCTCCTGTCTGTGGCACAGAACAATGTCACTTCCCCTTAATCCTTTCCATTCACATATCCAGTGGTCAATACTGTATACTGTCACTGCCTTTTTTGTGTTCCTCCAAGAGGATGAGTTGTAGGTGGTATGTTTGCCCCCCATCCCACCATTCTCTGTGCCTCAAGAGTTTTCAGAAAAACAGAGCAAGGATGTGACACACCACAGGAGCATCTCGTGCCAGGAGGAACTGACAGGATGAACATGGTGCCTTTTGGCTTATCAGACAATCCCTGCATTGATTTTACCTTTTCATTTTCCCCTTTTAAAAAATATTTATTTTTGATTACAGTTGGACACAATACCTTTATTTATTTATTTATTTTAGAGAGAGAGAATTTTTTTTTTAATATTTGTTTTTTAGTTTTCGGTGGACACAACAACTTTATTTTATTTTTTTTACGTGGTGCTGAGGATCAAACCCAGGGCCTCGCACGTGTTAGGCGAGTGCGCTACAGGTGACCCACCACCCCAGCCCCTCATTTTCCCTTTTAATCTCTAAAATTTTAAAGTGGTTAGTGCTCACCTCCCAAGTTCTATGTCTTCATTCCCCATCAGGGCAGTGA